AGGTCAAATAAATTAGTAACTAAAACATTTGAGAAAACAAAAATAATACAAAAATTTAAAATAAAATTAATTAGAACATGGTACCTACTTAATATTTTTATTTCAAAATAAATTTTAATAACGATAAATAAATAATTAATGCAAATCAAAAATAATTAATTATTCTATAAGTAAAGAAAAGTGATAGTTTTTTATTTAATGGAAATCAAATTTCCACGAGATAGAAAAATTGGAGTGCACCCATTAACCACGCTGTTTTGTCATATTCATAATGGGATAGTGCATTGCATAAAGCATTGCATATGGGGAAATGCGGCGATTTCTGAAGAGTGTGAGGTTTGCTGCACGAGCGAGGCGAGTGTAGAACACACTATTTAGATATCGCCACCTTTCAACACGACAGTATGTACACTATTTTTTATGACAAAACGGAAATTCGACTTTCACTGCCTTTTGAGAGAGAAAAATTGTTAATATTTACGCATTTTTAATAAAAACTTTTTATAAATCCTTGAGCGGGCCAAGTTAACTCATAAACAAAAATATACCAAACTAAAGACAATAATTGGCTTAATTAATAATATTAATTATTAAAGAACTTATGTTAAGCGAAAGTCGAATTTATGCTGCGCGTGTCATGAAAAAGCATTGATTAATATAATACTTTTCATTGCGATTTTTAAAATGTGCTTAATGAAAGTGTTGCTGGGTAAAAAAGTGTTGCTAACCAGAAAACGTGTACTTTTCTTTAATATTTCTCTTAATAAAGTAAGTATGCTCTTTTTCATTAAGAATACGAACAAATATAGCCTTCTAAAATATACCCTTCAAAAAGAATTTTTTCTAAATAATTTCTATAATTATAATGATAATTATTCATGTTAAAATGTATAGTAAGAAAAAAATAGAAACTAAAACCTTGAAGGTTAAAAAATAATAGGGATATTTAAAATTTAATATAAAATTTATTAAAACTTATTTATTTTTTTAAACCTCACATTCCTAATACAGACATTATTTTATAAATATCAATATTAAAAATTACATAGAAGAAAAATGTTAAAAATTCATTTATGTCTTATTAAAGTTGACTCTTTTATTTCATTTGGAGTCTAATATAAAAATTAGGTGCATTAAGTATAATTGGAATCATCTCTAGATCTATTAATTCTTTAACATATAAATTTAAAAATAATACGGAAATTTAATTCATTTATATCATGGAATATTAAAACAGTTTTAAAATTTTAAACGTAGGTACTTACGGTAAATAAAGAAACTCGATATCACAACACATTTAAGTCGCGGTGACAACTGCTCGCAAGAACATAAATACAGTAACATACAGTAACATATATACAACATATATATTACATATTATATGTTATAAATAAATAACAATAATGCTATTTAAATAATGGTGGAATTTAAACTAATTTATTTAGTTCTATAAGTCTTTATTCAAAACTATAACTTTACTCTAACAATTTTAACCGATCGTATTAAAAGTGTCAGACACACTGCCGTTAAAACTAATGTGTCTACGTAGGCCCTCATTTGTTTATCTTCTCTTGCCCTTGGTATGCTCTTAAGTACCTTTACGCTAACATATATATACAGGGTGTTTCAATAAAAACTCCCAGGCCAATTATTTCGAAAACTAAAAGTGACATTTAATTTCTGTAAACGCCAGTTTTTAGCCTCTATGATTGGCTTCACAACTGTGTAAAAAATGTGTTTGAATAATGCAAGATATAGGTGGCGCCACTGTGCAAATAATTTTTTCGATGGCAGATACTTTTAAATTAATTTTTGATCAAATTATGTCCCATACAAATTTTTGATAAATCCGACATGAACGGAGATATTTGGGGTTAAGTTTTTTTTTAAATAATTTTAAAGAGTATTTTAATTATAAATATTTATAATATCCTTTAGCAGATGTTCATTTAATTCTGGTAATGATAATTTTAGTGATTTTAGCTCTAACTAGATTAAAATTATTATGTCCAGTGACGTCTCTGGGGGCCCCTTAACAAATATTATTGGCAAAAAATAATACCCCACTGATTTTCTGGTAATTTTTATATTTTTTTCGGAATAAGCAACTAAAAATATCCTTTTTCTGTCTGTTGAATTGCTTCGTTTTCGAGAAATAAAATAAAACCATTTCACTGCATATCTCTGGAAAACAATAGTCATTAAATAAAAACAAATGAATGTTAGAAACATTTCTAAAATAAAAATGGTTCACCATACAAATCAAAACAAATTGAACATGGTTTTAGTTTATAGAGAATGCCATCAAAATGCTTCAGAAGCTGTACGCTGCTATCGAGCTCGTTTTCCAGAAAGACCAACGCCCGATCGCAAATCTTTTGTAGCTTTGTGTACCAACTTACCTACATATGGTAGTTTTAAAAAGGGAAAGGTTCCAAGAAGGAAGAGGGTTACGACTGACGAAAATGTAGCTTTAGTTCTCCAAACAGTAGAAAATAGCCCACAAACGTCATTACAAAAATTAAAAGATGAAACTAATTTTTCACTAAGTTCGTGTCGCAGAATCCTAAAAGGAAATAAGTTTTTTCCATACAAGGTTCATTTAGTGCATCATCTACAACCAGGAGATAACCAGCGCAGAGTAAACTTTTTGGCACATTTTCATATTCTTTTGGAAGAAAATCCAAATTTATTAAACCAAATTATGTGGAGTGACGAATCACAATAATGGAGTAATTAATAAACATAATTGTCGCTACTGGTCCCAGGAAAATCCTAACTGGTTGCGACAGACTAAATTTCAAACCTGATTTGGGGTAAATGTTTGGTGCGGTATTGTAAATGGTTACATAGTCGGGCCCTATTTGTACCATGAAAATTTAACTTTAGTGCGTTATTTACAATTTCTGCAAACCGATCTCCCTTTGCTGTTACAAAATTTAGGAATTATTGTAAATACTAAGTGGTTTCATCAAGACGGTGCCCCAGCACACAATAGCAATTTCGTAATAAATCATCTAAATGTGACGTTTCCAGGAAAAGTGATCAGCACAAATGGGGATCTTAGATGGCCAGCAAAGTCCCCTGATCTTACCCCGATGGACTTTAATTTATGGGGCTGCTTACAAAATGATGTCTACAAGGAACCAATAGAAGACATGGCTAACCTGTACAACAAAATGTATGCTTCTATAGCCGCTATTAATCGACATACACTATTGAGACTTTGCAGAAGCGAATTATTATATCGATTTGCTATGTGTTTGTATGAAAACGGCAATAATTTTGAACACCTCATTCGACCTCATTAGTTAGTTTTTGGTATTGTTCTAATTTTCATTAATAATTTTGTATAATTTCCCACCAGTTCTTTCATAAAATTTAAAACATCCTTTTATTTTATTTTATTATGTTTTAATGTTTTACCTTTGTTTTTGAAACAAAAAATATAGCGTTATTATTATTATTTATGGTTTTGTTTTTCAAATGGTTTTATTTTTATTTCTCGAAAACGAAGTAAGATATAAAAACAATTCAACAGACAAAAAAAAAGGATATTTTAAGTTGCTTATTCCGAAAAATATATTAAAATTACGTATTATTTTTTTCCAATAATATTTGTTAAAGGGTCCCCTGAGACGTCACTGGACTTAATATTTTTAATCTAGTTAGCGCTATACGAGCGTTTTATCACCAAAATTATCATTACCAAAATTAAATTAACATTCTGCTAAAGGATATTAAAAATATTTCTAATTAAAATACTCTGTAAAATTATAAAAAAAACTTAACCCCAAATATCTCCGTTCATGTCGGATTTATCAAAAATTTGTATGGAACATAATTTGATCAAAAATTAATTTAAAAGTACCTGCCATCGAAAAATTTTTTTGCACAGTGGCGCCACCTACATCTTGCATTATTCAAACACATTTTTTACACAGTTGTGAAGCCAATCATAGAGGCTAAAAACTGGCGTTTACAGAAATTAAATGTCACTTTTAGTTTTCGAAATAATTGGCCTGGGAGTTTTTATTGAAACACCCTGTATATATATATATATATATATATATATATACAATATTAATACAATATTGCGTCATTACAATTTGGCAACAATGTAGGACGCAATAAAGGCTGTACAAGCCATATAAAATTTAAAATGAAATACACGTGACGCAATATTATATCAAGATTAAAATGTAGTCACTTTTGAAAAAAAAGTGTATATCTTATTTCATAAGATAAAAAAATCTGAACAGATGTTTGGAATCAGCAAAAAAAGTACACCAAAATACTCTTCTATATTTTCGCTAAATACCGTATTTCTAGTAGACGCAATATACAATTGTAAAAGGGAACCATTGTTTTAAGTTCTTTGACTATTTTGCATTATCTTAAATATAAAACTACTTAAAATACAAAAAACTCGAAATTAGCTCACTAAAATTGTTGCGTAGAAGAAAAAATAAAAATTTGAAACTTGAAAGCCTGAGCCAGTTAGTCTTGTTTTTTTATTTAAAGGATATATATTTTATAAACAAATTTTAAAACAGTATAAAAATGACACTATTTTAGATTTGTAATGGGAGTAAAGAATCCAAAAAATTAATGGGCACGGTTTTTCGTATTTTATACTTAAAAGATCCCTATTAATTTTTTTTTATTAAAATCAAAAATCATGCATCTGGAATTTAAATTTAAAATTCCACACCTAAATTTTCATACCTAGAACATTGGTTATCTTAACCTTATTAAATATTTTTTTTACAAATTTACTTAAAAACCTACTTTATTACTATTATGATAATATTTTAACATGCTATAATATCGCTTAAAGTTTTTTCAATATTAAAACTGTTTTAAGATATTGAACAAAATAAATATTGGGATTGGATCAATATGTGCAGAAAATATCACGCCTCTGCAATTCCATATTTTCTTTTATATAATATAGTTTAAAATTAAGTAAAATAATTTTGTAAAAAACCAAGACATACCTATAAATGGACCAAGCATGTAAGTCTTCACTTGTAGTTCCCAGGATTGTGTTATATTCAGGATTTGAGGGCACAGAATATTTTCTTTCCATTTTAAATTCTGGGAAATCACCGTTTAATTAAAATACTTGGGTGTTCTACAATAAAATAAAAATATTAATATTTCTATTTTAATATTTTTTCATTCAACACTTTTATAAGATTCGTATAAATAACGTTTAATTAAATAAATATGTACTACGTATACGTAAAATCATTGTATGTTTGTTAATACTGCTTTTAACTACTTTCGGTTAAAACTAACTGGTACGACCTGGTAGTGAATAAGGACAGTGATAAGGACACCTACACCCGGACCTCGTCGACCCAGCTGGTTCAACTGCTAAAGTTGAAAGGATGACCAAGATTCCTACAGCCTTTTTGTCATCTTTCAAAGGGGCGTTTGTATTGAACCGCCATCCGTCAAATGCGAAAAACCCAACCAATCTGCACTTAAATAAACCTACATATTCGTTAAAGTAAGAAAGTGGATCCCATTTCAAAAGGTCGTAACTAAAATTTTGTCTTTCCATAAATGGATTAATTCACATAACATAGATAAGTAGGGGAGAGGCGGGAGGTTCGCGACGTTTTTTTTTAAGGGGTGGAGTTTTGATGGATTATATGCAATTATGAACCTGAAAGTAAGGTGTATTAAAACAGAGCTATTTGTTAACATAAATCAAAACTTTATTCTTAAATAAATATATAATTTTTTTGTTAAGAATTTTTTTTTTTTTTTGGCAAATGTCCCAAACCTCCCCAAACAAGGGAGGTTTGAATCGCCCTGTTGGGAGGTCATTCAAATTTTCCCGAAAATGTAAGTATATACTGTTTCTTTAGCTTGATCCTTTGCAAATCGGATCATTTAACTTTTCACAACGCGCTCTACTGATATCTCGTCTATGTCCTCTTCGATGGGAAAATAAAATTCTTGGGTTTTGAGCTTTTACGGAGGTATGATATTTTAATTCTGTCAGGTGAACTTGTAGCATCCAAAACTTTTTCTATATAATGTACAAACATTTATTTATTTTCTTCAACCTGTAACTTGACCAGAAGATATTCTGCTATGCAGTACTTCCTGTCTTCAGTATTTATTTTAGGCAAATCCAACTCTTCCTCGCTGGTAAATTCTAAAACTGAGCTGCTGTCTTTGCAAAGCTCTTTTTCGTTAAAGCTTTCGTCGTCCGAAGAGCTCTCTTTATTTTTTCTTTCCGTTTCTGTGATAATTCTTGTTTTCCCGGTTTTCGACTCGTGTTTGTTTTAATGCGAGGTGCTGCTTTTGGAAATGGTAGTATTATTTTAGGGCTTATAATATTATAGCTTTGAATATGCGAATTAACTTCTTTCTCTAAAGCGACTTGTATGTCGTCCAGTTGCAGTTTGGATTGCAAGTCTGTATCAGTCGATATAGTCGAAGTTTCACGATCTGTAACATTAGTCGAAGCAATATGTAACCTAGGCTCCCAAAAAGTCGACATCTGTAAAAGTGTTTTCGTTAAAGAGATAAATACCGGTCCGCTTAAAACCGCTGCTAATATTTGATGGAGTAAATGCCTTCCCCATTGCTTCCTTTGAAAGTTCAGGAATGTCATATATTTGAATCGGTTTGCCTGGTTGTCTAAGCATTAGACTCTCTGCTGCTGCATTAAAGTACGTTTTAAATGGCCCGTAAACACTAACATCCAGGGGCTGCAATCTGTGGCTTGTGTACGGCGGTAACGTAAGCAAAATTACATTATTTTCTCTTGCTAAATTTATCAGGTCGACTTGGATATGACTGTCATGGTTATCGAAAATTACTAATATGTGTCGATCTTTGGAAGGCTTGGCGTGTTGTAAGAAGTGTTTGAAAAAGGCTAAAAAGTTTTCTCCGGTCATCCAACCACTAGGATGAGCTGCACCCTTGCAGCCAATGGGGCCACCTAAAACAAAGTATTGCCAAAGTTTAAAATAGTTTGCTTTAACTTTAGCTACTCTTTAACATAATCTCTCGGAAATTGACCCTTGGAAAAATGTATTTAGAAAGGAGGAATAGATTGTCCAATATCGTTAATGCTGCAACAGGCAGTAACTAAAGATCCACGTTTCGCCGATGTTATCTGACCCACTTGCTTACATCCCTTCTTAGTTAAAACTTTTTTTGGTTTATGAACATTTGTCAGCCCCATTTCGTCGATATTCCAAATATCATCTGGCCAATTAACTTTTCCTCCATTGTAGTTTTCAAATGTTTGTAAAACTAATTGACCTGCTTAAACTGGTGGCCTCTGGTTTCCCAAGTGATATATTGGGGTTTCGGGTATAAATTCCTAGTAGCCAGTCTCTTGTTGCGCTATTATTTTTATCCCAGGCTTTTGGGTACTCAATTTTATTACATTTTGCAAAAATATAGGCTAATTTAAGAGCTGCCCTCCTGTTTAATCCATAGTGCAATTTTGATGCCTGAATGTAATAATTTGACAACATAGTTTCTTGCGTCTTTTTAAAACTTGTTTACTTGAATGTTTGGTTGAACAATCACTTTTCTTAAAAACGTTGTCTTTTGACAATCTTAACAAGGTGCTTTTTGGAATCCCATGCTTGCGGGCTGGTGGTCTTATGCCTTTTCCACTTTTTACCTCGTTTTTATCGTCTTGGAAAAAGTTTTGGGGTAAAACCTCGCGATTTCCTTTTTTACATATGTATGCGGCATATTTAATGAACTAAAATAATAAAAAAGGTGCCTTAACATGGCACATTAGGGAGGTTTGGGACGCTGTCCCAAAGCTCCATACAGCAGGTGCACCAAACCTCCCGACAGAACAAGCATTTAAAAAAAGTATCTCAAAAATTTTGTTGCTCAATTTAGACGAAAATTTGATGCAACAACAATTAACTGAAATATAATAACACATTACAACGACGCTTCACAGTTTCCATTCTTATTTATTATAACCTTATCAAGGGAAATGTAAGAATCAAAAAATTTACGAAAATACATGTAAATATAAACCTCATATCCTCATAACCTCATATCTCGACACACGTTGGCCACAGACTAAATGCTGAAACAACGTTAAATAAATATAATAATAAAAAACCCCGTGAAATATTTTAGCGGAAAATTTGAAAGTGTCCCAAATCAAACACGTCCCAAACCTCCCGCCTCTCCCCTACAATGTTCTTACATAATACTTTCTTATAATAACAAATCACCTCAGCTTCTTTTAAAATAAATTGATCAAAAATGTCCAATTGAGGAGCATCCGTGCAAAGACGGCTAAATCCATTTTATACAGTTTTTGTTTTATTTTTTGATTTCGCATCTTTGGGTTCTTCTCTATCGCTAACCATGATAATTCTGTTTAAATCCGACTATATCCATGTTAAAATCACATTTAAAAGGTAGCTTTAGGGGCAAAACCGGCCAAATCCACGTTTTTATAGCAAACCCGGCTATATCCAATAAATAATAATGATGATGACCAAGTGGCTTGGATATGTCGATACTATAGCGCAGAATCTCTTACTTAGACTCTGAACCACAAAATCCCGCTAGCTCAGATGGTCGTGGGTGAATGTCCTTCGTAATTACTACTTACCTTCGAACTTTTAAAATTGGGCACCAAGTAATTTTTTTATGAGATTAGAATAAAAGAAATTACTAAAAAAAATTGAAGTGTATTTTACACGAAGTTTACACAGTATAAAAAAATACTTAAGTCAGATCCCAAGACAAGTTATTTTAAAGTACAAGTTATTTAAAGTACCCTGGTATTACAGTATGATGTTAAAAACCCTTCGTGTATATTGGCCAATGTACCCGCAGTTCACACTAATCGAAGTTTATATTAAATATGATTAAATTTAAAAAAATATTCTACCAGGACCTAATTGTTAGTGAAAGAAATGGATCTGACCTTAGTTCTGTACTTTGTAATACAAAATTGGTGTACGTGGAGCTTTTCCGGTAAGAATTGTACGTCAGTCCATCCGTGTACGGTATCCAATATCTAATATCCTGGTGATCGTGGGTGACACAGGAGGTGTGACTTAAAACAATTTGATCTTTATACTTGATACAATAAACTTGCTCGAGACTTAGACTGAGGCTCTAGGCCCAGAATTAAAATCCTTGATAAAAACCATAATTAAAAAAAAAAAACCCTTCGAGAAGGGTTTTGTCTTCGTAGGAAATAGATCTTAATTATCTCCAAATCATGCCAGAAGCGGATTGGTGTAGATCCAGCAAAGTTTGGTCAGGTGAAGTTAAATCCAGTTATATCCGAAATACATCGATAGGATCCGGCACTCAAAATACCATCAATTGCCAACAAACAACATTGCACGGTTCCTAATATGAATAAACATGTCTTATATCCCTTTAATAAGGTTTCACTTGGCAGAGCGAAAAATCGACCATGTTATTCTCTGGACAACCATCACAAGACAAACCTGCTTCCGGCTTCTACATTACTTTGTCCCCCTTCAAAAACCAGACCTGCGCACAACCATTCCAAAATGTCAAAACACGCTCTTAAATGGAAACTAACCATGTCAAATAAAAAAACAATTACTAAAAGTCTGACAACAATAAAAACTCCCGATATTAAACAACATATAGCGGCAAAAAGGCTTGACAAAAGATCCCAAATTCAAATTAGGCACGAAAATTAAACCAATAGGAAAGCAACTACAACAGGTGCCGGATATATGAACAGTGTTGCTCCGTACATTGCATCCTACACGAACTTGCCTAGTCCATGCTTTAAAATCGCTGTGCGATACACTTGGCAACCCCGCGATAAAATCGCCGCCTAGCGTGAACCATTCGATCTACCGTTACGTCAATACAAATGTCAACCTGTTTAAAGTAAGTAAACAATTAATAACTGAATAACTTTACCACCACAGCTCTAAAAGATGAAGGCTACATTAATAAACACGCTTTTTGTTTTTAGGTATCATAAGCAGAACTAACTGCTGATCCCGCCAACAACTTCAGAACTAAGATTGCAAAGTCAAACATTCATTATTTAAGACATCCAAAAGCAATAAAACAAAGGTAAGTTAGGCACGTTGTCCAAAAAATATATATCACAAACCAAGTTTA